AGGAACCAATGAGGTTCATTCTTGTGTGTTACGCGGCACGTTTGAGCTTCTGCAGGAACCAATGAGGTTCATTCTTGTGTTACGCGGCACGTTTGAGCTTCAGCAGGAACCAATGAGGTTCATTCTTGTGTTACGCGGCACGTTTGAGCTTCAGCAGGAACCACTGAGGTTCATTCTTGTGTGTTACGCGGCACGTTTGAGCTTCTGCAGGAACCAATGAGGTTCATTCTTGTGTGTTACGCGGCACGTTCAAGCTTCAGCAGGAACCAATGAGGTTCATTCTTGTGTGTTACGCAGCACGTTTGAGCTTCTGCAGGAACCAATGAGGTTCATTCTTGTGTGTTACGCGGCACGTTTGAGCTTCTGCAGGAACCAATGAGGTTCATTCTTGTGTGTTACGCGGCACGTTTGAGCTTCAGCAGGAACCAATGAGGTTCATTCTTGTGTGTTACGCAGCACGTTTGAGCTTCTGCAGGAATCAATGAGGTTCATTCTTGTGTTACGCGGCACGTTTGAGCTTCAGCAGGAACCACTGAGGTTCATTCTTGTGTGTTACGCAGCACGTTTGAGCTTCTGCAGGAACCAATGAGGTTCATTCTTGTGTGTTACGCGGCACGTTCAAGCTTCTGCAGGAACCAATGAGGTTCATTCTTGTGTTACGCGGCACGTTTGAGCTTCAGCAGGAACCAATGAGGTTCATTCTTGTGTTACGCGGCACATTTGAGCTTCTGCAGGAACCAATGAGGTTCATTCTTGTGTGTTACGTGGCACGTTTGAGCTTCAGCAGGAACCACTGAGGTTTATTCTTGTGTGTTATGCGGCACGTTTGAGCTTCTGCAGGAACCACTGAGGTTCATTCTTGTGTGTTACGCGGCACGTTTGAGCTTCTGCAGGAACCACTGAGGTTTATTCTTGTGTGTTACGCGGCACGTTTGAGCTTCTGCAGGAACCAATGAGGTTCATTCTTGTGTGTTACGCGGCACGTTTGAGCTTCAGCAGGAACCAATGAGGTTCATTCTTGTGTGTTACGCGGCACGTTTTAGCTTCAGCAGGAACCAATGAGGTTCATTCTTGTGTTACGCGGCACGTTTGAGCTTCTGCAGGAACCAATGAGGTTCATTCTTGTGTGTTACGCGGCACGTTTGAGCTTCTGCAGGAACCAATGAGGTTCATTCTTGTGTGTTACGCGGCACGTTTGAGCTTCAGCAGGAACCAATGAGGTTCATTCTTGTCTGTTACGCGGCACGTTCGAGCTTCTGCAGGAACCAATGAGGTTCATTCTTGTCTGTTACGCGGCACGTTTGAGCTTCAGCAGGAACCAATGAGGTTCATTCTTGTGTGTTACGCGGCACCTTTGAGCTTCAGCAGGAACCAATGAGGTTCATTCTTGTGTGTTACGCGGCACGTTTGAGCTTCAGCAGGAACCAATGAGGTTCATTCTTGTGTGTTACGCGGCACGTTTGAGCTTCAGCAGGAACCAATGAGGTTCATTCTTGTGTGTTACGCGGCACGTTTGAGCTTCAGCAGGAACCAATGAGGTACATTCTTGTGTGTTACGCGGCACGTTCGAGCTTCTGCAGGAACCACTGAGGTTCATTCTTGTGTGTTACGCGGCACGTTTGAGCTTTGAGCTTCAGCTTTGACCTCAGTGGTTCCTGCAGAAGCTCAAACGTGCCGCGTAACACACAAGAATGAACCTCATTGGTTCCTGCTGAAGCTCAAACGTGCCGCGTAACACAAGAATAAACCTCAGTGGTTCCTGCAGAAGCTCAAACGTGCCGCGTAACACACAAGAATGAACCTCATTGGTTCCTGCAGAAGCTCAAACGTGCCGAAGTTGAGTGTGCTTCCTGGGGCACATTAATCTGTGACAACACCATTATTTAGCTTGCAACGTCATGTTTGCAGCCCTTAAAGAGGGTCCTGTTTGTATTCTGCCCGTCAGTTTGTGTTTATTCAATAATATAAAAGACATAGAGCCTGAAAACACACACACACACACACACACACACACACTCACATACACACACACACACCGAGATCATCATCTGAAATGTCAGAGCAGCTTTTTCCCCCACTGTGTTCTTAATGATGGTTTGCCCTCGGGTCAGCTATAGTTTATGAGCCCTGGCAAGCATGTCATATGGTTGTGTACCGTGGTTGTTGGTGGAGGGTGTTGATTTTAGACTGCAAATCTAATTCAAATATATACTAAATGTGGATGTGTACAAACATGTTTTTTGATAAAGACACATTAAAGTGCCCCTATGATGCTATTTAAAAGTTCCTCATTTTGTTTTGGAGGTCTCCTACAATAGGCCATACATGCAACGAAGATCAAAAAGCACTTTCATTTTCTCATTATATACATTGCAGCATAACCTCTTTTCTCACAGTGTCTGAAACGGTTCAAGAAGGCTATGTCCACATTGTCAGTCCAATTGAAATCTGATCTAAATTATTAACTGTCCACACTGTGTATCGCAACTGTTCAGATCCGATTTGTGTGTCCCATGGCACTCTTTAGTTTTCTGGAATATCTGCATTGGCAATGACATTGCGTTGGTATACGCCAAAAACAACAACAACAGCAACATGGAGGGGTTTGCAATACAGATGCTGTTTTATATACAACGTGACAATGTGTAGCTGCCCGCTGGACTTCTGTGTTATGAGGCAGTGGCAGAAATGTAAGAGGCTGGTATGAGCAGCTTTATTCTGTGCTGTCGTCTCCGCCGGTCTCGAACTTCAACATGTCTCTATTGTATTGTAATTTTCTGCTCGACCAGCACTGCAGCGACTTTCAGCATGTTTATATGACAACGTCAGACATGTTTACTTTTTACGTGGCGTGAGGAAGTGACATAAACCACGCAAAATCAGATTAGAACGGTCAACCTGAAACGGATTTCCAGAAATGCGATTTGAACAGGATTTCAAACCACATATAAATGTAGCTCAAATGGATTTGTAAAAATCGCATCTCATGTAATTTTTTGCCATTCACACTTGCTGAATATAATCAGATTCCAATTTGGACTTGACTTGGACTGACAGTCCGAGGCTACGTTCACACTGTCAGTCCAAATCCGATTATTTGTGTATATCTGATTTGGGAAACTAATCTAAAATTATTGACGTTCACACTGTGTATCGCAACTGTTCAGATCCGATTTGTGTGTCCATGCAGCTCTTTCATTTTCTGGAATATCTGCATTGGTTTCTATGACAATGCAACATGAAGGGGTTTGCAATAGAGTTGTCTTGTTTAAATTTGACGACATTACAATGTGTAGCCGCCTCACTGGTCTACTGCATCTTCTGAGGCAGCGGCAGAACCGTAGGAGGCAGGTATGCGTGGCTTTATTCCGTGCTGTCGTCTCTTTCGGTTTACAAACATGTCTCCTTTATATTGTTATTTTCTGCTCGTCCGGCAGATTGGAACAACACAGCCTTGTTTCGGCAGTGACTTTCAGCATGTTTCCTATAACAACGTCTGACGTTTACGTTTTACGTGGCGTGAGAAAGTCACATAAACTACGATCAGAGCAGTCAGACTAAAAACAGATTTCCAGAAATGTGATTTAAATAGGATTTCAAACCGCATATGGATGTGGCTTGAAACGGATTTAAAAAAATTGCATTTCATGTGATTTTTTGCCGTTCATACTTGCTGAATCTGATCGGATTTCAATCGGATATGCACACGGATTTGGACTAACAGTCTGAACGCAGGCTGAATGAGGCTTAAAGTATTCGGGATCTTTCAACCCCTCCTTTCAGAGAACCTACTCTGCTTTGATTTGTCAAAATCAAATGATTCAGTCTGTTGTGATTGGTTTTGACTGGCGGTTCAAAGTAGATGTTGTTTGTGGGCAGCCAGTGAAGACGACATGCGGGCATTATGCAAATTTGTTACAAACCTTCATAGGTTCGTGCACGAAATAAGACTGGAGTTATTGACGACTCGTTTCAGGCAGTTCTGAATCAGTTCTTTTTTTTGGGAGACAATAGTTGTGTCCCAAATGTACACTATGTACTAATGCACTATGTACTCAACTGTGTAGTTTATGAATTTGATAAGGTTATTTTGTCATTCAACATCGAAGTCTGATAATACGTAAAGCTGCAACATTGCATGAATGTTACATTGAAATGTCTAACATTCCACGCTTCGTTTTTTCAGTTAATTAAGTGCATCACCTGGGTATTTAAAGTGCACTTTTTATTTTTGGAATTTTCTGTGAACACACTACTTTCAATATTTGTACTACAAAACGTCACAGAATAGTGCATACGTAGCCTATGCAAATTGTGATGCACCTAATAACTCCATTTATCATGCACTTTGATCTTTGAATTTTTGCAGACCTCTTACATTCACAAACAGCTATACTACATGAAAGGTAATATCAGAAAAAGCATAATGGGGCACTTTAAAAACCCCCTGGAAGCTTTAGACCATTATTTTTTTGTCACTTGTCAAATGCCTTTTATGTATAAACTAACGTTTTACCCTTTTCCAAGATCCAGATTTCAGTCAGAAATTGAGAATTCGTCATAAAATGGTGCAAATTATGATAATTTAAACAATGAGTCAAATTAACATGAACCATTTTAATATTTCACGCAACATTTTTTGCTTCAATGTTTTTTTTACGAATTACGAAACTCAAACATTAATTATTATCTTTATAGGATACATACAATTCTACAATAAAATGATTTAAAACATGTTTAAATAATAATAATAATAAAATAATAATGCATAAAATAGCTCTGATTTACCCCCCCCCCCAAAAAAAATTTTTAAGGTATAATTTCCAATGCCTTGTGGTATTTAACACTATAGGCTACATTGTTTAATATGTGGTGGAAATGACACTGTGTTGGAAAAAATATTGCTGTTGGATAAATTAAATAATTTACTAACTGTCCACAGGGCCAAAAGTGTTAACACCTATATAAACAAAATATTTTTTATCTTCTCTTCCACTCAGATCTACACTCGTCTGCAGCGGCGTAATAACATGATGGACAGAATACGTGAAAACAAATACCGTAGCAGTGAGACAAAACGGATTAACATCATGCTCTTTTCCATCGTGGTGGCATTTGCGGTTTGCTGGCTCCCGTTGAACGTGTTCAATGCCGTCATCGACTGGAACCATGAAGTGGCTATGCACTGTACCCACAATCTCCTGTTCTCGCTGTGTCACCTAACGGCCATGTGCTCAGTCTGCATAAACCCGGTGTTCTACGGGTTCCTGAACCGCAACTTCCAGCGTGACCTTCGGGCTTTCCGACTCTGCAAGATTGTGTCAGCACGGGAGAATGAATATGACATGGTTGCCATGTCGACTATTCAAACGGATGTGTCTAAGATGTCACTGAGAATTAGTAGCCTTGATCTCTAGTACAGTTTTGTAAGTGACACTCGTGTCTGTGTTCTGTAAAATGCACTGTCTTGATAAAACGTCTCTTCAGATTTAGTTTAAAAAAGTGCATTTAAAAAAAAAAACATTAGAGTGATTGTTACTAGTAAACATAACGTTTGATATCATGACTTATGCTATAAGAAAGCAACTACTTTCCAAGCTCTGTTTTACAGTATAATTGTAAAATTGTATATACAAAATCGAGCAAGGATGCTGAATACATTATTTGGAAACATCCAATGTCCCGCATTAGTGAGTGGCTCATTGGGACCAAGTACTGTAAGAGTCTGAAGACATAAAAGAAATCGTACGATTCCGACTGAGCTTTGATCACTCAGATGAATTCTTCCTGCTGTGTGTTTGAATCGGAGGGAAGAAAGAATAAATGGAAATGAATGCAAAGCCCAAGAGGTCACAAATTCAGAAATGGATTTAAATGTATAATGAATGTCAGATGTGACTTTTAAGAGAGACACTGAACTACTGTTTCTTATCTGGATTCATTTCTCTGAGTTCTGAGTGCTGAAAACAAAACTAAATTGATTTTCCTCTTATTTATCCCTTGACAAAGCAAGCCTGCAGGAAGTAAAGGGCTGTTTTTTTCACACTGACAGCAATTTGCAGCAATAAAGTGACCCTACTTTGTTCTTTTTCAATGGGAATTGGCCATTTCTGACGACACAAGTAACAGCGATTGTTGTTGGTGATGAGACAAAGTTGAGCACAGTGGCTCGGCAATCTCCAGCCATTTAAACACTGTCAGTGTAAACAAGGCTTTTGTGCCATTGCTCACAATGGTTATTTAAGGCATGGATGCCCAGTCCTGCTCCTTGGAGGCCATCGTCCTGTTTCCAACCATAATTAAACACCTGAACCAGGTATTCAACGTCTTTAGGGGTGCTAGAAACTTTCAAGAAGGATTGGCTACCCCTGCTTTAAACACTTTGTTTTTTGTTTTGTTTTGTTTGGTTTTGTTTTGTTTTGTTTGCTTTGTTTTATTTGTTTTGCTTTGCTTTGCTTTGCTATGATTTTTGTTTTGCTTTGCTTTGTTTTGATTTTTGTTTTGTTTTGTCTTGTTTTTTGCTTTGCTTTGTTGTTTTTTCCACTCTCACCTAATCCACATAATACACAAACAAACATAGGAATGTATCAGTACACTCTAAATGCTGGGTTGTTTCAACCCATGTTTAGATCAAATATGGACAAAGCCAACCATTGGTTCAATAAAAAAATTTAAAAGCAGCAGTTGCGTTCGTCCATATTTGACCCAAACATGAAACAACCCAGCATTTTTAGAGTGTTTTATCAATGTAGTTCTGCACTGATGCATAATGATTGTAATTTAACATAAGTATGCTTTGCTATTTCTAATTTGATAATGATATGAATTACCTCTACTTGAATATTACATGTTATTATTGAGGTACTGTTGCTTACTGACAGATTTTCAAAATATTTTTTTGATTTATTCCTTCAATATTAGAAAAAAATGTTTTGCCAATGTATTGCCTTCACCATTTGTTTTATGGTCAATGTGGTCACTGAAGTTTTAGTTTTGGATTAACAGTTGAATTTGTTGAATATTTTATGATACAGTAATTGTAATACAGTGAAATACAGGGTTTGATAAAAACATTGAGTATTCCTTCCTTATATATATATATATATTTACAATACTTTACCCTCAGAATGATAAATAGAGGGCCATTGAAGTTATCAAGCTCCTCTATTGCTGTGCAGACTGTCATTTGCTGTTGTTGGTATTTTTCCAACATTGGTGATTGATTCGTTCTAAATTACTACAACAGTATAATCACAAAATGATCAACCCAGTGCAAAACAGTCCCAGATTACAAAGTGACGCAATTATAGAGCTTTGCTATGGCATGTGTATGTTCATGCGAGGAAGGCACTGTACTTTTTGTGTACAAAATTGTACTATATATATATATATATATATATATATATATATATATATATATATAATGACTATTTCATTGGATGTCTATTTCTCCATGTTTGTTTATTTTAGACTTTTTAGACATTGCAATATTAAAAACACATTCCAAACAATACTCTATATAATCTTAAATCTTTCAATCAGTGTAATTTTTTTGTCCACCTTGAAAATTGCTAAGAAGAAATTTTTATTTAGATTTAGACTGTTCGAAAGATGCCATCAAAATGACACAGTTGCTGGTGCAAACAAGTGAGCAAAAAATGCGTTTCTTAAAAAGAAAGAAGCCTTTCATTTATTTATTTTTTTTAGCGTGAGAGAAAGCTCTTTAACTTCCCACAAGAGCTTAGCGACACAGGGCCAGAAATGGAGCAACAAAATATCACAGCCCAAGTAAACACGTTTGACAGATTTATTTATTTATTTATTTATTTTGATGTGTAAGTGAGCGCTGATGCTCTTGCCACCATTATAGGGAATCAAGGGGGAATCCTTTTCTGGGAAAATAACAAGCAAAATAATGAAATATGTATTTCCAGAAAGTGCTGTTTCCATTCTGAATATTCCAACTGTCTGTTATCCGTATACTTGTGATATTTGAAAGGAATGCAGTGTTTTTTACTTTATTAAAATATTTTACTGCCAGTGTGGATATCCTGTGAATTCTGAAGTGATGGTCTTGTTTTTATATTGCTCATATCTAGGCTTTCTCTATATGGCTTTTTTTTTTTTCATGATTTTTGTCATTGTGTCTCTTTGTTACGTTCAGACACATCAAAGATGTTCTGCTGTGCACTTTATCAAAATCATCCATATTTGCTTCACTGAGTGCAGTGATCTTTTCTCTCTGATAGGCATTGTAGCACATGACCTCTGACACAACATTTCTTTGTAGTATGACATCTGAAATGTAAAAATGCATGTTATGGTTTTTGCTCTGTATCCTATCTGGATCTCTGAGCTGTTTCATTTAAAAAAAATCCTTTTAGGAAACTGAAGCCCCCATGAAGTTTAGAGTTTGGGGCTTTTAGTCCATTTCTAATGTGTTTAGCTGCGCACTTTACATTTACGTTTGAACCGCAAAGCCTGACATGTGAAACTAATAGTCAGAAATTGAACAGTTTATTGAGCCTTTAAATAAAGATAAAAATAAATAAAAGTTTACATAGGCTTATGTGTTTTTTTTTTTTTTTTTTTGTTAAAGGCCCCCTGTTGTGAAAATCAAGTGTTTAATGTTGTTTATATGTCTATGTGGTGTTTTTAATATGTTTTAACACAAACCATGTGCAAATTCATTAGTCAACTTGGTATTTGTCAACACTGGAGTATTGTCTCCTTAAAACTGCAGTTTACCAAAGATGCGGTTTGAAATCGCCACTGTTCTCTATGTCACGAACATGTTGTAACCAATCCCGTCAAAGTGCAGGCGGGCTTTAGCATATCATTAACTATGATGCGAACCAGGGGGCTCTCAAGAGAAACAAGGTTATCCCGGTATACAGTGCTGGTCAGAATTATTTGCCCCCTTGGTAAATATGATCAAAGATGGCTGTAAAAAATAAATCTGCAGTGTTTATCCTTTTGATATATATATATATATATTTTTAAATGCAAAAATCGAACCTTTTATTGAAGTAAAAGAATTGAAAGTGAGTGGGGCCCCCCCCATTTGAGAAAATACATAACCAGCCAGTGTTCAAAACTATCTGCTTGCCTTAGCTCGATTCAAAGCGGTAAGCTTGTAATAATGTTTTTAATTCCAGTGGTACTGGTGGATTTCCGCGGGAAATTCGAGCATGTCTTTGGGTCATTACGTCACTTCTGTACACATAAAGAAGGTGTCTCGGCTAGTAGGCTATGAGTGTGAGGATGCTGGAGGTGGAGATTTATAGCCTTTTCTCACAGCACTTATCAATTTGATGGCGGATCCAGAAAGGTTCAAACGACAATCACCAGTGACAACAGATTCACCCGTTGTAAAATGCAAAAGACTTCGTTCGGACTTCTGAGTGGCTACAAAAAACCGGACCCATGCGAAAACAAGGATACATATCGGAAGGACATTACATCACGCAATGCTGACGTTATTAACTTTAAAAATTTGAGAACAAAGTATAATTTGCACGGTTTTGCGTGATATGATAACTTATAAGCGATTGTTAGATTTAATCAGTGCGATTTACTGCAATGTCAGAATCAGAACAAAAGTGGATGTTTCTTAGTAGTTCAGATGACATTTTCCGGTGAAAATTCTTATGTTGGTCATACTTCCAAGTTTCAATACTCTGTGATTCTGAATGACAGTTTCCACACCGGCGTGGTGACTGACAGCCACACACTCTCCTCAAACATTGTGTTCATCCACGCTGTGCCGTGTCGAGGGTGCTGAAGTACAACTCACGTAAAATTGAGAATTCCGGGAATGACTACAATTGCAGATTTCGAACAGAGATGGCGACAAAGAGGAAAAACTGCGGACTGCAGCTTTAAATACTTTTTGCAACCTCCTTTTTCCAAGATAACAGCTGTGAGTTTTCTCCTATAATGCCTGATGAGTTTAGAGAACACCTGACAAGAGACAACAGACCATTCCTCCATACAGAATCTCTGTAAAGGCAAAAGATGTAGAGATGTACAAACAAACACATCCCTCAAAAGCCAGATGTGATGCATCTTATTTGATACTCAACTTTAAACATGATTTTTCCAAAAATAAATAAATAATAATGTATGCATAATCGAGTAATACATTTTTTTTTTTTTTGCAGTCCAGTATTAATCTTGAAATATTCCAAACAACATAATTTATTCTTACATTTAGTTTATAAAAACCATTAAAGATTTCACAGCTAAAATACATGTCCCATAACCTGAAGGTGTCACCATTATGTTCAGGTTTAGTTAAGTTCATTGACTCTTGCTTGTTTACATTCATCACACGTCTCTTTGTCTTTGTGTTCCCGCCACTGATCAGTCTCCATAGACACTACACTAATCATCACAGCTGTTTGTCTTTAAGTCATCATCTCTGTGTATTTAAGTTCCTTCCTGTTGCTTGTTCATTGTTGGCTGTTGTCTGTGCATTGTGCACTCTCGCATAATTTGGCTGTTTGTTCTGAGTATTATATTAAATCTTATGTTATTGAATCATCGTCTTCATCTTCTGTGGAACTAAGAGTTACAGAAGGTTGGACGTTTTTACAATTATACTAAAAGGCTTATTACTTTTTTTGCTGCTTGTTAAAAAAAAAAAAGTTCTTCCATTTTACTTATTCCATTTGAGTTGAGACAACTTGATTACTTTATTTGGGTTTAAGTAGCATTATAGTGACTAAAAAGGATTTCCGGTTATGATTTACACAAATAGGGAGAGTAAATGTTGAAATAAAGTGTTATTTTATTTTTTAGCAAGATGAGAAAATGTGGAGACTTGTTTAATGTTCTTGTTACGGGTGTGGTGCAGGTTTAAGGAGAGGCAGCAGTCAGCAGATCAAATTCAATAATCTTTACTAAGAAAACCAAACTTAAACAGATACAAGTCTTTGGGACCACAAACACACGTTACACATCAACGAGAACCGACAAGGAGTGAGGGAGAACACAGGGTTTACATACACAGAGAACGGATCATGGGAACAAGACACAGCTGGGGCAAATTAACTAGACACAGGTGAAGGAACTGAACACAAACGAGGAGCGGGAAAATGAACAGGACTAAACCAAATACA